GGGGGGGGGGGGGGGGGGGTACTCATAGCATGCCGTAGTCGTTAGACCATTGACCACGCATCCCTACAAAGTCGGGACAGAGCGGGGGGGGCCGGGGGGGGTCAAGACAGGGGGGTACGGAGTGAGGCACGAAGAGCCTCACGATGGTTGGTTCGCCAGGGGGTGTTCGCGCCGCCGTCGACGATTGAAACGAAAAACATGCGCGCACACGCCCAGCCCGAAGGCAAACATCATATGCCGGTAGGGTTGGATGGGCGAGTTTGCGGAAGACAGCAGGAGCAAACCGGCTTGCTACTGCTGCTGCTTGGTAGGTCTAATGACAACAGACCAGAAATCCCAACCGAGTGCGGAGAAGCGAACCAACCTGCGGGCTAGCAACCACCTCCGCGATGCGCTCCACGCCCCCCTCCACCACGCAATGCGGCCCGGGGAAGTCACCGTAGACTCCCTGATGGATAGACGCATAAAAACGCCGACAAGTGACAGCGGAGGCAGCAGCAACAACAACAAGAATAGGGCCACAAGGAAAAGTACAACGGAAGGTAGGGGGCATAATACCTGTAAAAACTGAGAGCATTGCCGGGGGAGGGGAGCGAATCGATCCAGCACCCTCGAAAGGTTTGCGGCACGTGACCTCTTGGTCCCCGCGAGAAGAAAAAACGAAAACAGGCGTGCTAACCCCCTTTCCAGAAGCTCGGCATGCATCACCAGTAAAACGCTCGGTCTCTTGGCCTATCCTTTTCGGCGAGCGAGACCAAAGAGGTCGGCCGCACGGCAACGAGAAGTCAACCTTGTGGAGGAGGACAAGAAAGCAACCCTGGGGAGGACCGACCGCAGACGTAAAGACCGATGCAACACACCATGGACACTTTTGGGCAGACGTGACACACGTGGCGCGCGCGAGGCGTTGTACGGGGAAGTACGTCATGTTATGTTTCACCTCCTGGCGGCTGTCGTGTTCTCATGCCTTGACCGAAGTCGGCACCTAGTCCAACCAGACCCAACCCAAACTCAACCCCAACCCCAACAGTACCTACATGCGGATCCAGATTCAGATTCAGATCCAGATTCCAGATGCAAGAGTAGATCCACAGAAACATGATCCAATCTAAACCACAGAAACATGATCCAATCCAAACCCAGATCCACAGAAACATGATCCAATCCAGATGCAAGAGTAGATGCACAGAAACATGATCCAATCCAAACCCAGACGCAAACGGACATCGACACCAAACCCAAACCAAATCAAAAGGTAGATCCAGATCCACATGCAGATCCAGGTCCAATTCCAACTCAGACTCAAATTTACATCCAAAACGGACCCAAGTGTGGATCCAGATCCAGATCCAGGTCCAGATTCAGATTCAGATCTTGTCACCAGATCCAGGTCCAAATCGGGACTAAGACTTACCTGCCCACCATGAAACGGCTTGTTTTCGAACTCGAGCGATCTCAGCTGCATGTCCTGGACGTCGCACCCGTGCCATAGAGCCAGCATGAGGACCCTCATCCGCAACCGGGCCAGCTCCGGCATGGAGAAGGAACGAAAGGGCTCGTCCAGCAGCAGCTTCTCGATGGCGTCTTTCACGCACGTCACGCACGTGGGGGACAACAACAAAAAAACAATCAGGCAGCAGCAGGGGAGAGATTTTCGAGGTGATACGTAGGAGGCAAGCAAGGTTAAGGAAGACGAGAGGGACAGAGAGAGAGAGAGAGAGACAGGGGTAGAGACGGAAGGGCTAGGGGACGAGGGAGAGAGAAATGTGGGGAGGGAGAGATAACTGGGAAGGGGACGGTACCTGCGTGGATTTTCCATGGTTGGTCTTGGTGTAAAAGCTGTCGCAGGACTTTAGCGTTCGCTCGCCCCTCTACCCTATACGTACCAAAATAGCCTTGACGAGACGAGGATGCACAAAAGGGGGCATCCCGGTCCCCGCCCAGGGCGACAGTTTCATTAAGTCATCAATCAATTCGAATAATTGACTCCTTCGTATTTGATTAATTGATCAAGTGGGATGTGCTCCGTGAAAGTAACGGCGGCGTGCAACGCGTTCGCGTGCTTCCTTTTTTCGACCACGGAAAGTAACTGGCTCGGACCGGACGTTAGCCCCACCAACAGCGGGATAACGAAAAAAAAAAAACGCCAAGATGTGTGCGTTTCTTGAAATAGCATCGACCACAAAACGGTAACCCGGCCGCGAGCAAGCCTTGTGCGGTTAGCCGGCCTCACCCCTTGCGGGAGCTTCGGCGTCGTCGCAGCCCTGCGCCATGGTCCTGACCCGGCCCATCAGCTCGGAGAACGCCTCGTCGTTCGCGGCGGTTTCGGCTTCACCCGCCCGCTTGCCGCCGTAGAACAGGGATACCGACGGCGTTGCCTCTATCCAGGGGTTCGACTCCGATACCTGTTTGCGGTTGTTGTTAGTGGGGGACGCGTCATTGTTGCGCGTCGGTTGCTGCGGCTAGCTGCTGCTACAGCTACTGCTGCTGCTGCTGCTGCTACTGCTGCTGCTGCTGCTGCTACTGCTGCACGCTGTACGAGCTGCACCGAGATGGATGGTCACATACCGCGCCTGAACACCTTGTTTTTTTTGTCCTGTTATTTGCGACTGACTAGAAAAAGGCAGAGTTCTCGGCGTGTCGTGGATTACTACGGTTGACGTTTCACAGCAAAAGAAGCAGAAACAGTATCAGCTGCTGCTGCTGCAGCAGCAGCAGCAGCTGTAGTAGCAGCGACGATAAAACGACCAGCGGGAGTTGCCTCCAAGGTGGCATTCGCGCCCGGACAAGGACAGAAAAAAAGGCATGTGCACGAGATACATCCTCGGACTTGTATCGGTTATTTCGTTCTTATGAAGACGTCGTCGTGTCAACGCGGACACGCCTACCTGTTTCAAGCCGATGCCGGCCCCTTTGGCCAAGTCTACGAGGGGGTTTCCCAAGGTGCCGTGGATGTACGCCGCCCCGTGGTCGAAACACAGCCCCCCCCCGGCGGTCCCGTGCCGGCGTGTGCGCATCTGACAAAAAAACAACGGAGACAGGAGGAGGAGGAGGGGGGACGGGCGAGGGCCGCGTGCAAGACGGAAGCGACAAGACCAAGGGCAGCAACCAAAACGCGACCATCATTAATAACTAGCACGTAGCGTAACATGTACCAACGTTGAGCAAGCACGCACGCACGCCAAACGAGACGGGCAACAAAACAGCAGTGCTTGAGGGCTCTCCGCTTCACGCCGGTATATTTATTATCGATCGCAGCAGCAGCAGCATCAGCAGCGGCAGCAGCAGCAGGTGCGGTCGTGAATCCATCCCCACGGGGGCGAAAAACAACAACTTGAGACTGCGGAGGCAGTAGCACCCACTCAGGGAGAAGAGAGCACACACTCTTAGGTGTACGCCAAAGCTAGACAACGCGACACCCAAACGAAGCAGAAGAGAAAGAACACACCCCTGAGGTGGAAGCCAAAGCTAGATAGCACGACAGCCAAGCGAAGCAGAGGTCAACCGCTCCGACAAACCAGGAGGAAACCGTGCGTATGTGCTCCTAACTCAAGCGGCAGCGGGCTTGCCCCAGAGATGATGTAATCGTCGTTGGTATTTTATTCTCTTGCGGCTCTAGCGCATGGCGGGGGCAACAACGGTCTCTCACCCGCCCCCCGAACCTCGATGACGCTTCCAACAACACCAGCTTGTCCTTCGGCCAACCCCTTCGGAGCAACTCCCTCGCAGATGACAGTCCCGCCATTCCGGCCCCGACAATGACCACCTGGAAAACAGCGCGTTGTGATACAGCAGCGGTACCTGTATGAAGTAGTGTGAGACACCGCTGCTTCGAAATCAAACGACGTTGACCACACTTGAATTGCGGTGAGTTGCAACACAGCAGTGGGCTTGTACAGCTAACGTCCGCACTCAAGGACTGGGGCATGTAAGAAAGAAATTGATAAATTGTAGCCTCAAAATTTAAGAGCTTGATCACCGTTTGTAAGCCCCGGTAATACCCCCCTGTACTAAAACCTAGTATGTAGCGGCTATTCGAAGCGTATCCGGAACTAATAAGAATCCCAGCCTCCACCCCAACACTAGAGGTTCACAAGCGGTGGCGATAGCTGTACTTAGGCCTTTGCTCCATCGGCCGTTTTATTTTCGATTTAGCTACACAAACTATATTTCCATACTAATTTCAAGTAAATTTCACCTTCTTATTCTCCGTCATACAAAAAAAACGGCCGATGGAGCGAAGGCCTAAGGCTGTACTCCAAGGCGCTGCCTCGAAATGAAGCACCACATGTACAGTAAGTAGTGCGCAAATCTTCGTTGAAAAAGTGGGGGAAGCCTTGCGATGGAGTCATGCTGCTGCCCCACACTCACGTCTTGGTCAGCCTCGGTCTTCGTTGCACACGCAACAAGAGTCATGGAAAGGACCCTTTTTGTCCTCGCCAACAGATACCTCACGCGCCGCGCTGCTGCTGTGGTATCCAATCCATGCACACACACAATAGGCCACACGTCGGAACTTGACCAGTGCTCGTTTTTCCCTCGTAGGAGGGCGAACGGAAGAGAAGGCTCCGCACCTTGCATAACGTGCTCTCCTGCATGCATGCCAGTCATGTGGTCATGTGTTTCGCAATAATACAGGTAAAAAAAGCACGATTGTCCGAGACGACGAAGCCACTCCTGATCACGTAAAGTAGAAGCGTCTTACTCCCACCCCCCCCTGGCATTTGCCATCGGGGTTGGGTTCTCGTCGCTTGGCAACGACGTTGTAAAACAAGCCAATTCACTTCGTGAACTCAGCAACCAGGTTACCGTTTTTTACTTTTTTACCTCTGGCCATGATGGCGGTCGAGTAGATCATGTTGTGCGGGGTCGAGAACCCTCACTCCGCGCAAGGGGGATGATCGCACCACGTTGTGTTAAAATGGTCAAGCACCCTCGAGGCAGTTACACAGTGCTTACAACTGTCTCTGGAAGTGAAAGCACCAGAAAATAAATTAA